TATTCTGATGAATCAAACACTCAAAATCGCAACTCGTTTCTTTTTTGCTCGTTCTCGGTATACACGATATCAGGTTAGGAGAGCACTGGACTGTTTATGGTTCGTATATAGTCAAGATAGTGTTCGTGAGATTTTACTTTCCAAGCCCACACAGCCGCAAGATGGAACTATTCGAGCAAGCCCACGCAGACACGGTGTCGTCACAATGAGTTTCTAATTCAAGCAAAAGCGCATTAGACAACAGCGGATATTATGAATGCGTTGGGATGAAAAGCATATATAAGCACGTCTTAGTGAACAGTACACTTAGCATAAGTGACCCTGACCGCATCTCAGCTGATTTATGAAATTTCCAGTAAGAGGGTATATAGATTCAAGACATGCAAAGTATAAATAACAGTTTTGAAAAAGTGGTAAATTTTAATAAGGGAGCTGAAAGGGCAGAGAAAGGGTTGAAGAATTATGACCTTGCTTGACCATGCGTCCCACGTTTAATTTCAAACAGCGCTTGTGATAGCTGCTTTTGGTTGACGCCACACAGGTTCGGCATGTAGCGCTGGCATTTGTGATGGCACACCACGCCACATACTGAAAAATCTTTCTGCTACGAAAAATCTGAGAAAAGAATTCTTAAAGATTTCAAGTTCTAATCGTTTTTTACGCTTCACTTCACACGCTTTAATTTTTGATTCTGAGCTGAGTTCGCCTCATTTTTTTAGGCCACAGCTTCGTCGCGACCCCCTTCAGGACGTTGACTATTTCGGTGCCAGGGATTGCGGGAGTATGGTTCAGCGAGCAACATTAAAGCCCAGGAGCTCAGACTGGTGCCGTCACAGTGAGAGCACACCCACCGAAACCGCAACAGCCGGCTAGAACACAACGCACAGTGAAGCTAACAATGTTGCATAGTAAGTGATGTCGCCAAGTATCAACCGCATTTCAGCTATTAGTTCCAGAAGCGATATAGTCAGCGTTTAACTGGATAAATTTCGAAGTACTGCGTCCGAGTTTTGGCAGTGGTAATGATCAAATTTACTCGCATAGTTTGAGCAAAAGGAACCAACTCTTACGATTGAAAAAAGCTGGCAGATGCAAGCTGTATTCGTGGACAGTAATGTGGCGTCAGAAAGTAGACAAAGTATGGTACCAAAAAAAAAAAAAAACTCAATCCAATTTTATTAAAAAAATGTCTTCTGCGCTGCTCGAATTTTAATGCGCAGCTGAGGCATAAATTCACTATCTAATGAAATGAACAAACCTTCACATTTTAATCCCTGTCTGAACAGGCCATAAAGCAATGAGCCGCAGTGGTCACAAAATGTAGGGCTTTTGAAGCTGTACGGTTTGAAACGATGAGGGATGTCGATCTTGAAACGCTCTTTCAAATACTGAAATTCAAAGCAAGTGGAGCGAAATGCCCTAGAAGTCCGGTACAATTATGCTTTTGGAGTTGGTTACTGAGAATACGTGACAGACAGGTTCACTAACAGCTGCGCGAGACCGCGTTATGGCACTCTGCGATGTCTGCGAAATTCGTACATACGTTCTCCGTCGCGGACTTATAATAGTATTAACCTAAACCTAGACTCCAAGTTCAAGACATACAGAATTTTTACATTCAACTAATGCAAGATGGCGAATAAAAGGTACAAGATTTTAAACAAACAATTTGCATTTTTTGAAGTTATAACATCAAATTGATAGGTAAAAAAAAACTTTGTTCGAAAATTTCACTGAGGAAATCATTTTCTTGACGATTCGCTGCTGATTCATTCGGGTAGTAAATAAGCACTAGTTAACTCTAGTATGCTACGTGCTCAGGTCGTCTTCAGTTTGCTTTTTGAGTAATAGTTGATTGAAGGGCTACAGGCAAATTTGGCGCTGGTTGGGCATTTTTCGCGATAACGATATGACATAGGTTGCGGACGAGTGCTTCTGTTTCGGCCAGGGTGTGAAATGTAAAAAGGTTCCCGCATTTTAAAAATTGTATTGACATTTTGGCACCCGTTGAGTCTGAGAAATCACACAAAAAACTGAATATGAAAACAAAGAAAACTGAGTGGACAAAAATACAAAACGAAGAGAGGGCAACGAATGAACTCACGATAGTATCTTTTGTGTTCTTTGCAGAGCCAGGACACTGGCTGATCATTTTTTCGTGGCATTTCTTGTGAACCGCCGCACTACATAATTGGCATTGATATCCTTGTTTGTTTAAACCCCTGCAGTTTTCAAGACCGTGATAACAGTAATCATACTCATGAGCTTGTACAAAGACTAAAAAAAATTAGTTAGCAGCTACTGAATACATTTTTAGCATTTTGCATTGACTACAAATAATTTTTTATTACTGTGACAATCCCAGTCGAT